TGATATGACTCACTGATCTCTAACAAATTTCTCTACTTTGGAAAATAGAGACATGATCAAGAGGATTCTAAATGAAGAACCTGGTTCATCAGTATTGGTTCATCTGAATAACGAGGTATGTTTTCTATACTCCGCACAATTATAAATATAAATATTTAAATCATGAGCAGAGTCCTACCTATGTACAAAAAAACATCAAAAAATCCTATCTGTTTATTTTTTGATCCAGTTCCGTCTCTATTAGAATTCTTACCATATAAATTGCCTAAAATCTAGGGAAGCTTAACCGCTCACTCAACCTAAAATTTCAAGTTGATTGGACTTCTAATTGACTGCAAAAAGCTACCGTTAGTCATTAATTAAGTTTCTCTCTTTAAAAACCCATCATCACCTTCTGCCACCCTCATTATTCCAAAATCGTCAAAATTTCTTTCACTCTCAATTGTTCTCTCTTCCAAAAGCCAAACTGAAAAATTCTCTCACGAAATCAGTCACGATGTCAAACCCTCAAGATAACCCAGGCACTCCTCCACAACCTACCCCTTCTGATTCCTCCACACCTTCTCAACCCAGTACAATCCCCCAGCCTAGGAGGAGACGTGTTAAAATGCTCGCTCGTAAAACTGTGGCTACAAGTGCACTGTCAAAAAGATTGAACGCACAATTGAAGGCTAGCCAAGCCCAAGAATCTGAACACTTAGATGATTCCTTCAAGTCCGCAAGTGAGGGGGAAGGAACTGGGTCTTCTGATTCTAAGAAGATTCAGAGTTCCCCTTCTGAGGTCGGTTTTGGTTGAAAGTGTAGAAAATAGGTTTGTTCTTGTTGTGTCTGTTAGAAATGTGGAAATGCCTGAGTTGAGAAGGAGAGGAGGTAAAAATAAAAAAGAAAAAGAAAAAGAGAGTGAAGGTGCAAGCTGCGATGTGAGGGGAACGGGGATAGAAGTTGTTGATTTGTCACCCACCACTGAGATGGTTAGACCGGCAATTTGTGGGACTGAGGATGAAATTGTAGGAGAAAGTGGCAAGAAAACAGGGGAAAGTGGATCAGGGGAGGCTGCTGAGGGTTTGGTAAATTTAAGTTCTCATGTGGATGAACCCGGTTCATCTATTGAAGAAACCCTAGCAGACCTTCTGAAGAAAGTAGGTGCCAGTTATAATCCCAAGAAAAGGAGAACACCAACACCTTAGGTTCCCAGTACTACAAAGAATACCAAGAAAAGAAAGGCTAATTCCCCAACAACTACTGAAATACCCTTGCCAAATGGGAGAGCCACAAGAAGTATGGTGAAACAGAGTGAGAGTGAATTACAAAAGGCTTTGGCTAAAAGCAAGAAGAAGGGGATGGATAAAGGAAAAGCTAAGGTTGCAGAGCCCTCTGAGGCTGTTGATGTTGAGGAGATGGAACAGGTCCATCAGGAGGAACATACAACTGTGGAGGTTCAGACCCCCAAGCCTAAAAAGACCAAGACTTCTTCCAAGAAGTCTTCACCAGGGTCTAAGGCTGCTGAACCTTCATTGGCCAAGAGGACACGGTCTGCAGTGAAAAACAAACCAGTTAGAATTGCTGAGGATGAAGAATGTAGTGGTGAAGAAGAGAGTGAGTCTGATGGTGAACAAGACAAGCTGGCCAAGTTTGGCAAAAGAAAAATTTTAAAGGGTAGATTGATGAAATACTTGGTGGAACCAGGAATGGTTCGATTGGTTGATGCACTAGCTGCTCAGGGTTGAAGGACATGGTCTTTCAGATGGAAGGCTAGCTAGGAATGAAATCATTGAATTCATGGCCAATGCAGAGGTCAAGGATGGCAGAGTTACCAGCCAAGTGAAAGGGGTTCAAGTGACCTTCGATGCAGAGAAGTTGGGTGAGATTCTTGACATCCCTGCTGAGGGATATGATGACTACACAAGGCAAAGATGGCCAAGTTTGGACTCCCTTCCTACTGCCCTTGCAATCACCAGGAGATTCTGTGATGTCTTAGAAGTGAATGAGGCCAAAGTTGTTCATAAGAGTGAAATGAAGCCACAACACAAAGTCCTATTTGAATTTGTCAACAAGTGCTTACTGCCTAGGCAGGAAAGAAGGCACCTTGCTAACTATATGGACTTGGTTCTGATGGAGTGTCTCGAAAATGGAAGGCAAATCAACTGGACTGCATTCATCATCAAGCTACTAGACAGGGTTATCAATGGATCTAAGGCTCATGCCACCCCTTATGGATTTATTCTGACTACTGTTCTGGATCGTTGCAAGGTGCCTCTGAAGAAGTGGGAAATGGCCACAAGCAAGGACCATTTTGGCATTAATACTTTGATTGCTTGTGACTATCCAGTCAATGCCATTCCCAATGAACCCGGTTCATCCAAGAAGACACCTATCAATAATAAAGTCAGGGTTCTAGTTCAGGAAAGTGGGGCCAAGGATGATGAAATAGCTAGGCTGAAGGCTCGCTTAGAAGAGGTTGAATCTGAGATGGATGCTCTCAGAACTGAGCTCACCAAGGAAAAGGAGAAGAATGATGGCATTCTTCAAAATATGGTGAACCTTCTCCAAGCCCAAAACCAACCCTCTAGCTCTCCCAAGCCTTAGGACTTCTAGCCTTCATCTCCTGAACCTGTCTAGTACCACCAGTGACCCAGATCAGGGATTTCTCTTTCTTTTGCTCATGTTTTGAATATTTTTGCTTTCTTTTTGTGGATTGTGGTAGCAACATATCTCCTATCAATGAAATCTACTTTTTTTGCTCTTGTTGATTGTTAATATTTCCTTGATACTTTGAATGTGTTTGCTTGATTACTGATGATTAATTCATGATTGCACTTGCACTTGCCCCAGTGGCCATGAGTGATTGTTAAAATTCTGGGAATCACACTTTGTTTATGCAACTTTTCGATGATACCAAAAGGGGGAAGAGATACTGTGCATTATATATTCTGAATAATTGATGTTTATACCCTAATGAACCTGGTCCTTGATGATAAGTAAATTTTTCTAACTTTGTATTGATGAATAGGCTAAGTTCTAACAGGGCCTAAGTGAGTGAAAAGCATAGAGTTTGTCATCATCAACAGGGGAATTTGTTGGCACAAGTAAAGGTGAAGTTTTGAAGACTGACAAAAGAACTCAGATATGGACCAGGTCCATCTTGTGAAGCACAGTTTTGATCAACTCAAACATGTGAGATGCACGTGAAGGAGATAAACCTAACTTACCAGAAATGATATCTCCTGATCCTGATCGAAAATGTTGCATATTGGATAAGGAGAACGACTCCTTACACAAAGAGAAACACGACTTAAGAAATGGATAGAGTTAGAGGGTGAGACCAACTAGAACTCTTCCACCTAGGAAGAGTAGCATCTGTATTCTAGTCAATCTCTTTTTACTAACTCCATAAATATCAGTGTTGCTCTCTTTTACAGGTAATGCACATAAGCAGAAGTTAAATGTGAATTGAGAGCAAAATAGCAAGGCAATTTTGCAAGCAATTTATGTGTGATTCAATCGTGCAATCCTGAAGCTACTTGAACCAGATAGAAGAACCAGTTCCATGCGTCTGTCTTTTTATTCTAGCTCAATTGTAGTAGGTGTTTTAATATTGTATCTTTCAGCTTTATCTAGAAGCAATTGTATTAGGTACTTAGAGTTTTCAAGTTAGAGTTAACTTGAAGTTGTCGCAACAGTTGAGGCTGTGTGCTAAAACGAGATTAGAGTTAATCCTAGGTTTACAAAAGAGTTTTTGTAAGTGCAGTTTTTGGCTCAGTGATTTTAGTGGAGAGTTTGGAAAAATCCTACTGGAAGGTAGGTCATGGTTTTTTCACCTTTTCAGCCAGGTGTTTTCCACGTAAAATCTTTGTCTTCTTTAATTTCTATATTTATTATTTCGCAATAGTAGCAGTTCGAACACATAGAAGAACCGGGTCCTTCTATAATCAGGTTAAACGAAAAATTGGGTACCACACAAATTAGCTCCCTTCTTGTATGGTATTGAAGTATAGAACATCACAAAGTATAAGAAGATATGTGTTAGAAAGTGATTGAGAGTGATATTCACGTTTATCATCATAGATTTAAACATTATTGGGTGAATTAAGTAGTAAAAACTTTAAAACTCCATTATTGGGATTTTTAAAAACTTGAAAACTCACTTTTTTAAAATTTTGATAAATTTTTGATTGGGGTTTGTTGAGAAGTCAGTTAGTTAAAATTTAAAGATATTCGGTGAAGATTTGAGCTATTTGGTAATTTCATGAGTTCAAATTCGTGGAGACGAAATTCAGTTTTTGTATAATTTTATATAATACTTTATAATTTTGTATAAACACTTCTTATACACCATTATACACTTTTGTACAAGGTTGATACGTTATTTATAATATTGTAAAAAAATCAACGGCTGTGTGGTTATAAACTCAAAATTTTGGCCAAGTATGTGAAATATGTTGTGTTGGGCTGTACTTTTGTGCAAATCTCTCCATGCAATAACGTTAAAATATCATGGTATAGCCCGTTTTCATACTGGTCAATGAAAAATAGTCAGCGATTATCAAGTCAATGAAAAATAGCCACTATTTTGCTGCAACAGGGACCAGTCCAGTATAATATACGGGAGTTCTGGTACATTTGTGTACGAACTCCAGCATATTATGCTGGACCGGTATACTTTGCTAACTCCTGTAAAATTTGCGGGAGACTGGAGCACCAGTGCTCCAAACTCCAGTATATTATACTGGACAATTATACTTGCTGGAACTCCCGTAAAATTTGCGGGCGTATTTTTCCGGATTTTGAACAGTATTTTCGCTCAGATTTAAAGTGGCTAAATTTCGATGACTTTTGAAACTTGGCTATTTTTCAACGACCAGTGATAAATCTGGCTATTTTTGAATTTCTCCTTGCAATAACTAGTCCAACTTATTTTAACCTGTATAATTTCGCTCATGTTCATCTTCCTCGCTTCTCCGCATCCCCCGTCAATCAAACAACTCGAACCCTAGAAAACAATGAATAGGAAGGCAAAACGTAAAAACAAGAACGTAGCAATAGCAAAATCGCGGCAATGGTTGGATCTTCCGGAAGAAATATGGGAGAACATATTAAAGAGGCTAGGGGCAATAGAGATACTGGAGAATGCACAGAAGGTCTGCACTATGTGGAGGCGAGTGTTCAAAGACCCTTTCATGTGGCGTGTCATTGACATATCGAATTGTCGCGGCCTCTCCGACTCCAACCACTTCCAAAAAATATGCAGCCACGCTGTTGATTGCAGCCAAGGTGAACTAGTTGACATCAGATTGGCGTTTTTCGCAACGAAAGAGTCGCTTGCTTATGTAGCTGAGAGGTAATATCTGGCTTCAATTTGCGGAAGTTACTTAATTTTGGTTTCCACGGTTCATGCGTGCGTTTCAAGTTGTATATAAAACAGGGGCAGCCCGGTGCACAAAGTAGTTCACGAAGGGTCCGGGAAGGGCCGCATCCCTAGGGGTGTGATGTGGATAGACTCTAATGCAAGTATTAGTGACTGCGTCCATGGCTTGAACCCCTGACCTATAGGCAGGGGCGGAGCTAGAGAGCGAGTTACGGGTTCTTCTGAACCCAGTAGCTTTGGTTCAAACCCTGTATTTGTTTGATGAAATTCATTAAACATGTATAAATTATTAATTTAGAACCCAGTAACTTAAGAATGATTAGATTCCCGAACTTATAAACTTTAAATCCTGGCTCCGCCTCTGCCTATAGGTCATACCGTTTCAAGTTGTGTATCATTTTCCAGAAATTTACATAGGGAGAATAGCTGGAACAATTTCCTATATGGAGTGAATTTTCTAACGAGTATAGGTGATCGATTAGTATCTCCTATACCACATTTCTAATTTACTTGTAAATAATAGTGATAATTTTTTTATCTGTAAAAAGCTGTATTAAAATCAAAGAATCATTATCGAAAGAGAGTCTCGACATGGCGGTGTAGACCTAGCTCCAACTGGCTAGAGGGTGACCGACCTACCGGACCAGAGGTAGCCGAGAATGTTACACTCCTTCCAATAAAAAAAAAGGGTAATGTTAATGCATCAAAAAAAAAAAAAAGTTTACAATGAGAATATTTTCATAATTGTATCTGTTTTGATTCTATGTATTATTCTGATTATGCACATAAGCGAGAAGCTGTATGAGGCGAATCTCATGTACGATTCTAGAATGAAGATTCTTTTCATTGAATGATGATCGTAATGTGGGGAAGAGGGTAAGATTTTTATGTGGGTAGGACATATCAACACCTTTTGCATCTCTTTATTTTAACAGAAATCTAGTGGTATAATATAGTGTTGGGTCGTGAATTCTCTTCGAGTATCTATCTTGCATATTGCAACAGAAAGAGAGAGGGATATTTATATAAAATTTGTGGCAGTTATTTACTCTTGGTTTGTCCTCTAAAATCCTTGCTTCCTTTCTTCCACTCTCCTCCAACAGAAAATCAAGTTGTATTATTAAATCCTATGGTGTAGTTGCTATAATCTTGTGTTGTATTGGATTATGTGTTTTGGTAATTTTGCTTTACACTGACATTAACTCATTTCTACTTTGATCAACAGATCAAGAAAACTTAAAAGACTTAGTATTGCATGGTGCCACTCAAAATTAGTACCTGAAGTCTTAGTTGAAGTATTTCAAAAGTTGCCACTATTGGAAGAGCTAAGTCTGACAGACACTGCTATTACAATAAAAGGTATTGAAGCTCTTGGACGCTTTTGCCCACGACTTAAGTCATTTGAGTTGAAGAATGTCGTCTCTTATAATATAAAATCGGTTGGTAAAAGAAATGATGAGGCGCTATCTATAGCTAAAAACTTGCCTGCGTTGCACCACCTTGAGCTCATTGGGAACAGTATGACAAATGTAGGCCTTGGAGCGATTCTTGATGGTTGTCCTAATCTTGTGTTACGTGACCTACGGGGGTGCTTTAATGTTAGACTCGACAAGGTCTTGAGTAGTAGAATTTCTCAACAGATTAAAGATGTGAAGTACCCTCGTGACTCTTTGGCAGGTCATAACTTCTGATGAATATAACATATGTTTGATTATTACTTTTATTATTGAAAAATTTGTTGCATCTCTATATCTTGTTTATTGTTGTTTTGTTTTAGTATCTTCAACAGCTACCTTTTTGCAATTTGTATTATGTAATTTTGCAGTTTCCTTTGCTAGATGGTCTCAGCAATCAGCATGGCATGTTGACTTTTGAGGTTGAACCTAGCAATATGGTTGCTCAAAAGTTTTCAGATTGTATGTTTCAAAGGACTCGAACCAATAACAACATAAGTCAAAGGATATATCTAATTGTATATTTATGAATTCTGTCCAACGTGAATATGTCTAATTAACACTATGTATGTGTTTAATGACCCAAAACCAGTATTTTAAAAAGCTTTCTTGGGACTTGCCTCGGGGCGAGGCTAAGGTTGGCATGTGGGCCGGTTAGGCTCGGGCCCGACACATGCACATGAGCTCATATGGGAAGTGGGTCTAAACGGGGCTAACTGTTTAAACCCGGGACCAGGTAGGGTGGGCTCCTAAATAGGCCGGTTCACTGAAAAAGCCCGTGAGGACCAGGACCGTTTGGGCCCGGGACCGGTTGCTAAGTGGGCCGGTTCAACCGGTCCTAAACGGACCCAACAGCTAATTTTTTTTAAAAAAAAAGTTTATTCCAAATTTTTTTTAGCCATTACTAAAGTTTAAAAAATGGCCGTTGGCCTGAAAAAATAGCCGTTTGCTATTTCTAAAATAGCCATTTAACCTCCCCACACTTTGTTTTAACCCAAACTTATTATAGTTATACTTTTTCCCTATTTTCAATTATAAATACCCCCTTATTCTTTCATTTTTCCCACAAAATCATCAATCTCTCGCATTTCTCAAATTCAAATTGAAGTATTCAAGTCTTCAAGTCTTCACTCATCTCTCATTTCTCAAACTCAAATTCTTAATTCAAATTAAATCATGCACGGTGATTCTAGAGTGCGCGCATTTGTTTGGGAACACTTTAATGTGGTAGAAGAAAATGAAGAAGTTTACAACTTTACATAATAAACTGCAAGAACTGTGGTCTTATGCTTAATGTTTTAGTTTGTTAGATTAATTTGAAGTATTATGTTGAAGGCATTGAATTTTAATTTGAAGTATTAAATGTAAACTTTAAGTATTTTTTTTTGATTTGCACCGGGTGTCCGAGTCTCTATGAGCCCCGACTAATCCCGGGGGTGCACAGGCCCTCGGTAAGGAGTTTCCCGCGAGTGCACCACGGTTAATTTAGGTTTTACCCAGTCCGATGGCCCTTAGAAATTGTTTGCACCCAGTGGGTTTCGAACTTGAGACCTTGTAAGGGAGCAAACCCCAAGGCTCAAGTCTATTGCCACCAGGCCAACCCCCGAGGGTTAAAATGTAAACTTTAATTTGCAAGTTTGATATATATATATATATATATATATAATTTACAAGAAATTGCCTTAGATAAAAAATGTTTTAAAAAATAGGCCAGACCCACATAGGCCCACTTAGCCCGGGACCATTAGTTCGTGGTCCCGGTCCAGTTCCTACCAAAAACCCATAAAGTCCGGGACCGTTTAAGTCCGGCCCACGAAGCCCCGGCCCACATAGGACCAGCCCCCGAGGCCCGTTTAGGCCCGGACCCGGCCCACATGCCAACCTTAGGCGAGGCACTATCCAAAGGCTTGAGGCTCTGTGTGGAATTTAGTTCTATGAGACTTACGTTCGACTGCGTACTTGAAACACGCTTAATGCTCAACGCCTGGAGCTCGCCTAACAATTTCTAACATAAGTTATGCATTAGCGTGTTGACACTCAATTTTTTTTCTAACAAATGAATAATTAACGTTTTATTTATCTATAGTAATATAATGATTAAGAGTAACTCAAAATAATGAGTTATGGTATTGCATTTTACGAATTAAGAACTTCGCAGATCCATTTATATTTTATGAACTTAAACTACATTTTAGAATAAGATATAGCATAATTTAATAAAGGACCTACTTTAAAAATGAAATATCATTTAAATAGTACATAGAAGGAGAATCGAAAATGTGAATTCCAAACAGATACATAAAATAGGAGCAAAAGAATATTTTTTTATTCAAAGTTAGAAGAGGAATTTAATTATTTAAGTAAAGTTTAAGAGGAAAATGATTTTCACCCAAAAAAAAATTACATAGAGGGAAAATTGAAAAACTCAAGGGAAAAATAGACATTTCTTATGATAGAGGGAGAATATTTCTATTCTTTAACTAGATGAGAAAAGGCCCGTATACGGGCCGCCCAACATTGTAATATTAAAATTGTTGTTTATCGGTGCTCAATTAATTTTTTGGTAAATAAATCGATCATTGTTATATCCATTAATAACTGATAGAGAATGATATTGGGATCACAATTTACAATTAATTTTTTTAATAATTTACAAAAAATTAAACTATAAATTATAACCTNAAATTTATTTCTCGAGCTTGGGACCTCGGAATTCGATTCCGGGCATACGCCCAGATCCCATATTTTCATACGGACCCTCCGGGACTGTCAAATCACGGGTCCGGATCCGTTTACCTAAAATATTGACCGCAGTCAAATTTATTCATTTTAATACCAAAATTTAGCATTTTCCACACAATTTCACATTTAAGCCTTCCGGCTACGCGCCCGGACTACGCACGCAAAACGAGGCGACTATAAATAAGGTTTTCAAGGCCTCGGAAGCACATAATGGGTAAGAAAACAGGTGATGACCCCTTTGGGTCGTCACAGTTAAAAAAAAAAACTTATGATTTTACTTTATGTCTTGTATACAACAAAATCAAGAGAAATTTTTAGTACAGTCAACAAAGAGAACTTCCAAGGGGACTTGCATCCCTAAAGAGGCAATTTACTACTTCAAACAAAGAGAACCAACTGCACTAAACAAATATTAACATGATATAAATTGTAATAATTCAATATAGTAGTTCAAATTATATTTTATTATAACTCATTTAAAATGATGTTACTGGTGATAAGATAATAAATATCTGATAGAAGTCTATATAAATTATAGGGATTTTAATTTTTTTCTTAATTAAGGATATAAGAGAAATGTTTTTATTTTTTCTATAGATTTATCATATGTTTAATTTTATAATGAAATAATATAAAATATTTTAAGACAATTTATAGATTGTTGAAAACTTATTATGGAAGAATGGAGTTCAAACCATATAAATCAAATTTTCACATCAATTAAGTATATAAGAGGTAACCTCCTAGAATAGATGAACAAATATCATCACTTATATTAACTTTTAAGGTTTAACAAACTATAAATTTTAAAATTACTTTTGAATATAAAACTTTTAAGTTTTAAATCACCTTCAAATAGTGTGAATACATAAAAGCCTTTTAATTTTATTTTTTAAATTGTGTTAAAATAGTATGGGTAAATATGAAAATCTTGTAAATATTTATCTAATATTTTTTTGTTGCTTTATTATTTAAAAATTAAATTTACTTTTTCTGTTGAAACTTTTAGTAGACTTAAATAAAAATTAATAATTTTATCATATGAGAAAAAACACTCGAAATGAGTATTTGCATGGAGTAACTCTCTGCAAAAGTAGTCTAATCAACAGTATATTTAAATATTTAAAGAAGTGTTGTGGTCAAGGGAATGTGAGATCCACGTATATCAAGGAGGAAACAATTTGCATTTAAGAACATAGAGATACTACGACAATGCTTTTCCATCCTCAACAACAGTAACACAGAGATACTACTATTTAACCAAAAAATGTGTCTTTCGGTCAAAGCCTATTTTTAGAAGAACTCGGGTTACTGATAACCAAGAAATTTCGTACTTTCTCAATTATATCAAAGGAAAAGACAAAAATAAGTAAAAAAAAATAATTGATTGCAAAGTCAAGATAGTAGAAAAGTAAAGTGAATATATTCCAATATTGTCTCAGATGATCCTTACAAATGAAATCCTCTTCCCTTTTATAGGGGTTTACAAATATAACGTTTCCTTCCTTTTATGGCTGAATCATTATGACTAATGACACTAATGATCCGTTATAATTGGCAATCGTAACTGTTTGTGGAGATTCTGTAACGGTTCCAATTCTTCTTCCTCACTAATTAGAGGTTCGTGAATCTTCCCCTTCTTACCGTCTTGATTCATTCAACCCATATTTACTAAATGATTTAGACACGAGCAACTGCATCCCTTCATCTCGTGAGTGATTTGCCCGTGCCTCTTGTATCTCGTGCATCTTCTAATGCAGTAACCAACTGTCACCTTCTTAGTGATCCACGTATCATGCCTTGTCAGCCACACATAATTCCACGTGTCATATTTATTTTCTACTAATACAGATAGTCCCCCCACTTGCCGAATATTCTAAAATTGAATATTTGGGAAGTGGTATGTATTTATAGCGGAAATCTTTGCTGTTGTTTCCCATGTATCATTTTGTCTTCTTCAGAACCAGCGCATCGTATGTCACTTCCGTTTAATGCATGTGCCACGTAGCCTCCGTCGATTGGGTCTACGACTCTTCAGCGATTTTTAGGGCTTTCTTGCGGCTGCGTCAATCACGAAGTGATTGCTTCATTTTGACGTTTCCATCATGACTCACTTTACATGATTGTTGCTCCTTCTTACAAATACCTCATGTGCCTTTAGTTTCCCGAAAACCTTCAATCTACAGTATTCTTCTTCTCTAATTGTTTTTATTCTTCGGTACGCATTACTTTCTTGCATCCATGTCTTCACCAAACCCAATTCCTCACATAACAATTATTGTAGATGAACTTCCTCCTTCAACTGCTCCTGTTAGGAGTAAAAGAGGGTGTAGGTTACGTAGCTTAGGGTCTTTATCTGTCCGTGGTTGTACTTCTCAACCCAAAATTGTTACTCCTTCTTCATCTAGGACTAGGGCTTCTTCAACCGATAGATCTTCTGCCAAAAATAGGGAATCAGGTGAGCCCCTTCGAGAACCAACAATTGATAAAATTATCACTGTGAAATTTTTTTTCTCCACTGATGGTGAATTGATTAGAAATCAAGTTACTTCTATGACTTCCCATGATTGTGCCGTTGTCTATCCTTCTCAGATTACTGATGGTTTTATTTCTCTTGTGCGAAGAGAATGTTACTGGAAACCCAATTTTCCAATTTTAATTCCTGGTCCAAACTAAAAG